TGCGGTCATTTTCGATGATTCACAACAATGCGGAGATCCTCGACGCAGCAGGTTTTAAGGTTCTATTCGTTATGTGAAGTTCAGGGATTTGGCCACTCTGGATCAGATCAAAATATCGCCGACTCTTTTCCTTATCCTATTTCTGCTCGGGCTCTTCCACTCTAACCGATGGAAACTCGAGGAAGGATCCAAACCCCCAAAGTATCACGGTCTCGGGCGTTCAAAACCTATGCACTCGGACCTGATCCAAAAGAGAAGATCCAAAAGAAATCTTTCACACCTGGCATTTCTTGGCCTGGTTTCAGGTGGGTAGGCTGATCCCTCCTGACGTGTCGTGAACCACCCACAACTTCACATCAATGGAAATGGGTGAAGCGCTGAAGCAAGCATAGAACTAAGCCTAGGTCCCAATCATAGGCTTAAGCATAGCCCATGTGTAAGCACAAGTCTTAGCCTAACCTAAACCCAGGTATAACCTTAGGCTTCAATGATCGCGCAGCTCTGGTGACCTGACCTAGGTGGAACTGAACGTCTCCCATTTTGTTTAAATTGTTCTTTGTTATTGATTCGTTCGAAGCGGGATTGAACTCGTTCCATGACTGACCTGATGTTAAGATCATTTTCCAAACCTGATGTTATTTTTTGAATGGTCCCAGATGAGGATATTCCAAGAAGTCATTACGTATCGTATCGTTTTATCATCATCAGGCCGCAGAACTTCAGCTACGAGAGGCTTTTGCTACTGTGATTCATGAATGACTGCAAAATTCTCTCAAAATTCAATAGCTCTCCTCCGAACGCTTAATAGAACCTACTGCGACTAACACAACGCTCTCATAGATCAGTTATCCGGACTGTAAATAAGAAGGCTCAATCAGAACTGCTTATGCCACACTTTTTTGTCGGTATAGCGTCTGTTTGCTTACATTTTTACTACTCGACCTTGAGTGCGGAACAACAGCGTTCAGCTGTTAAAATCAGATGTATCCCCACTTATCAACGCCTAATGCTTGTGAGGTAGCGAACACAATGACAAAAAACTTGCAGAGGCGGCCAAAAATGGGTCGTCACTTCCTAGTGATATTCCCTTTTTGCAGAACACGGGCGGGTAAGTTTCAAGCCTTTTTTTGCTGCACAATCCTGCGCCTATTCCGCGAACAAATCAGCACAACTTAATCCATTTTACGCCGTAACATCGCAAATAGGGTTTTTTGCCACCTGAGTACCTCGTACGCACTTTGCGCGATTAGCCGACTCTGAAACTCGGATATCTAGTGAGGCGAAAAACTCATCAGGGTCGTTTCCGCTTGCTGGGGCACCTGCGGCCTCAACATTGCGACGCGAGTTAAAGTGGAAGAACTCGTTCAGAGAATTTTGCTATTATTTATTTTGCAAGCTTAAAAATTCACCTCACTCCCTACTGAAGCTCTCAGCAAAATTCGTGAATTTTTCGAACCCCGTTGGCGGATACTTTTTGATGAAGACTTACAGAAGTGAATTAGTCACCTCGAATCAGAATTCTCCCTCTTGACCTGTTCCCAGAAAGTCTAAAACTGAAAACGGATCTTCAGCCTGAAAGTGGGCAAGAAAACGCTAAAAATGCAATTTCGGACGGCCTTGCTCCATTACCCGAGACAAATGGGGCATGGCTGAGAGTATCATTGCATCGTTGCGGTCGAAGACTAAGGTTATTTTTGCATTTACTGGGCACAGGCTACGTCAGAAGATCCGAACTGATAAGTCTCAGAGGTACAGCTTTCATCACTTGGCGGCTGGCAATCTCATAGTGTGATCACGCTGGCTTCCATACTATTACTGGCTTAAGTGGGTGTTTTAGGAGCGCATTTCAATAATCCATCGGTTTCAATAATGCAGACATTCAAAGCTGGTATAGGTGTATCGGACAGTAGTGGAGTATTTCGTAGCATATCTGCCCGGAAAGCAAGGGGGAGGGTTCGATTCCCGCGTGGGGCGACGTGTTTTGCTTGCTACCCAGCAACATTGTGGAACCCCAATCAACAGTGCTCACCGAAAAGCCCACGTAATATAAAACTCATACAAATAGATAGGAGAAGAGCAGCAGTCTTTCGGAACGCTCGAATCTCCACCCCCGCACTCTACTTGCGAAACTCTCCGCCGTGCTCCTGAGCTGGATCACTGGGACGCAATAAAGCCTTTTTCGTAACGGCTTAATTGTTGTGTGACAGAAACTAGCCCCTTCTCGACACGCAACCCAGATTGCAAAAGACGATAGAACTTTCTTTGTAGAAATGCAATTTCGTGAGTTTTTATGGATGTCTTTTTAGGGCGGGGTAATTGCAGAGTGCCGACACTTCACACTCACTGGTGCGCGGTTATCGTAACGAAATCGAATCCACTCAGAGCCAAGTAACGGCCTAGTGAAATTCGATTTCGTTTCATACTTTCAACGGTTCCGACGGTTGTCATACCGGTAATAAAACCTAACTCTGTATTGTTCTTATCGGCTGCCCACATTCATTCAATAGGTTCAACACCAGCCTACAAAATTTCACTAACGATAAATGAAGGAAATGCGTGGCGCAATTGCCCACGACAGTAGCTGACTAACGTCGAAAGCTTATTCTCTTATCCATTTGTAGTACTTACAGTACAAAGCATTTCCATGTCCAAAGACCTTTTATCAATGCAAAGGTTCGGTTAGAGGGCATGGCAGGTCCCGGAAAACGCCATCGAATCTTGGCGGCGTACTGACCCCCTTAAGATTTTTTCGCACCATCTTCGTTTCCTGCCAACCACTCATCGTCAAGTTGAGGAGGAATTCAAATTTATGTTCGCCCACACGTGGAGAATTTGTGGTGCAGAAAAAGTTTTTGGAAAAGCGCTACGCGACCCAAACATCCCTTGTCAGATGCAGGCCAGCCTTTTCATCTCCGCGCCATGCATGCCATTTTCAAGTTAGGCTAAAAACTGGGGCTAATAACCTTCGAGGGTGCAGCCTTCCCACTTGGTGATGCCACAGGGTTAAGCTCGATGCTCATTTCCATTCAATTAGGTGCCAAGCTTCTACTAATGACGAGTCAGGAATTAGATGCCAATTTACACATATTGCATTCCTAGCGCATCCAATATCGGTGGCCCTCATGTTAGTCCTCACTGGCAATGGTAAATATTTGACTTCCAAAGAAAGCGCGAAAATTTTCTTCAAGGGATATTTCGATAAGATGCAATAATGCTGGGAAACCCGGGGACCGAGCCTTATGGCTGGGATGGCGTTTGCTAAATCGTAGCGTCGGCAGTGGTGTAAGTTATACGAGCCTGACCTAGTATTGCAGATCCGCATTTATGCTTTCTGGATTAAGTAGGTTCAGTGAACGCAACGCAGCCATGAACAAAGCGTGAATATTTGGGACCACTTACCTTTAAAAGAAGCGTCGGATTACCAAGAACTCGTTTCCCGTTGGCGTCAAAGTCCGTTACCACATAACTGTACGGGGTTAGGTTTTTGTGTGGTTGGTTGCCTACAAGAGTTGCTTTCTTGATACCCCGGATATAGCTGCCCAACTGTGATTTGTAAAATATCGGGGAGGGCATTACTCTTTCGATGGTAGGTTTTGTGTGAGCCGCAATCAAGATTAGCACCTTTATTTGGATAGAGATATCGCCTTACCGCCTTCGTCGGCGTCTGAAAGACATTAAAATACAGTGCTTCTGCGCCGCCAGCACCTAATTCAAACCTTGACCAAAAAAAACCCTATAGACCCAATGTCTCTGGAAGGACATCGCAAATCACAAACCTCTTTTACCTACCTGAAAACTGCTGGACTTGGTAGGAACTACCTCTAACCTCACCCACAGGAGGAAGCCTTCAGATAATCTGGCCTTTCGCGATGAAACGGCCGCCTCGCTCTATACCTACTGGCTGTGAGTGGGTGTTTTAGGAGACGCAATTGAGATAAGTGAAATGATAATAGAATATCATCGGTTTCAATAATGCAGACATTCAAAGCTGGTATAGGTGTATCGGACAGTAGT